GGTTTCGGTGATCGACGCTTCCCCCTTTTGAAGCAGGACGGGCACGCGCAATTATCCTGATCCTGATCGTCTGGGTCCAATTAACGAGACTGTTTGAGAGGATCTAAATCCTCTCAAAGGATTTAAATATACAGGGCCAGCAGCAGCAGGAAGAGAAGGAAGAGACGCCACACAAACAGCTGTTCACCGCTCACTGCCAGTTCTTGTGTTAAAAATGTCCGCTTAATAATAAAAAAAAAAACTGCGTTGACGCCTGATAAAATAATTGTCGGTGTTAATTAACGAATGCGTTAACGCAACATTAACGTGTTAACTTGCCCAGCACTAACAATTATATAACAATATAACTAAAATCAATCTTCCTTTGCAGGTGTATGCGATCCTGGTCAGCCACCCTCCTCAGTCCAACGACCACCTGACTCCGACGCCTGTCTCCTACACCGCCGGTTTCTATCGGATCCCCGTGGTCGGTCTGACGACACGGATGTCCATCTACTCTGACAAGGTAACCTGACCCCTGTTTCTACAGCATCACAGGAACACCTGTGAAATGGTGAGAAGGTTTCACACCTTCATGGTGCTTTCCGGTGAAGGGTTTCTACATGGTGGTGTTCCTCAGGGCTTCATCCCGGGTCCTCTCACATTCTTTATCGACCACCAAACACTGACCCGGGAAAGCAAACTCCTCCATCAGTGAAACAGATTCAAGTAAAGAAGCATTGTTCAGATTCTAGAGTGACACTCAAGAGCCAGTAAAACAAATAGTTGAAGCAGGTAAAAGCAGCAAAAGCAACATCTGGAAACAATCTATGGCCATATGAATGAATTCCCCCAGTGTGTAACGGCCTCAAAGGTTGCTGGTTTGAGTCTGAACATGAGATGTAGTGACAATAACATCATCTTCCTCTTAAACATATTTACAGTCTGGACTCATTTGAAAGAATATTCTATCATATCTCACTTCTTTTAGTATTTGGTAACAAACTGAACATTTGTTGGTGTTTTGTTTGACTATTTTCTGTATTCTGTTCTTTGTGCTTATTTATTTTGTTTATTGTTGAACAGATTAATTTCTTTGTGTTATTAAGAATATAAAGACGTCCTTTATGGTTTATATTCCGGGTGTTTGTACAGTTTATAACAGAGGTAGCCAACACGGTGCCCGCAGGCACCTGGTCGCCGCAGGGACCACGTGAGTCGCCGGCAAGGCGTGTTCTAAAAATAGCACTAGGTCCCCGCACTAGGTCCCCGCACTGGGTTTTCAGGTTCCGAATGGCGGGCGCTTCCCGTTGGCACCGGACGCGCGCCGCGAGCGCAACCCGTCGTCAGGTCCGTCAGTCCTCGGAACAGGCCGCGGGGCAACAACTCTTGGGTGGCGGAGGTAGAGGCGAGGCAACGCAATCCGACCGAAAAGGCCCAGACTAGAGGTTTGAACGCGGACGCCCGAAGATACTCGCGCGCCTCGGAGGGTTGGATCCCCCGCTCGGCTATAGACGAGACTGGTTACTAGTTTCTTCGTGGAGAAAAAGGTACCCAAAGGTTCCCAAAATGTCTACCACTGCATCATTCACCAGCAGGCGCTATGTGCAAAAGTAACCGGCTTTGATCACGTGATGACTCCTGTCGTGAAGATCATAAATGTCATCCGATCCAAAGCCAAACAACACAGGACATTCATAACTGATTGTCCCATGTTTATACAAATCGAGTTGATTTGTTGATCATGATTTGTTCAAAAATGTTACAAAAGTGGTTAGTACCAACGAGACATGATGTGAAGATATGACAGTTAATGATTTCATAAAAAATGTTAGAAGTGATCATTTTTACAAAAATATAACAGGTGTGATTTTGAACCAAATGCTACAAATGTGCTTATTCATACAAAACTGTCAAGAAAGATATTTACAAAAATATCAGAGGTGTGATACCTCTGACCTTCAAATGTTGAAACAGAAGAACAGAAATAAATGTTTAAATATATCTGTGTTTCCTACCATCATGTTGTGGAAATCATTGTTAATAATTATTGTGAGGAATAACTAACATTGACATGTGAACAGTCTCTTCACATATATTATTATTATTAAAAGGTGATCTGTGCAACTTTGTTATTCAGGAAGTTTGTATCAAACAAGTAGCCCTTTGTACTACTCGGTACCCTTGAAGTAGCTCTCAGTTTCAGAAAGGTTGGTGACCCCTGATCTAAAACATAACACATATAAATATAGACTCTCCTGTGTTGCCTTCATGCTCCTTTAAGTGCAGCTTGTAGAATATTCAGCCCAGTTTGTCCTAATTCTCCACTGGAAACCTCTCAGAGTCTCTCTCACTTTTTAGAATATTGATAAAATAATTGAGAGCGTCATCAGGCCCAGAACATCAGAGCACTCCCTGTGAACAACGCTCAAGTTACTCTCCCATTAATTGATGAAATATTTACATGTTTATCAGGTGAAGTGAGGGTGAGTTTGATTCTAACACCAGCAAGACGAGCTGGTTCAACCACCAACACATTTCACACTCGTTACCTTTTGTCTCTGTGCAGTTTTAGACAGAAACATAATTCTTCATGTTTGTTTTCTACCTTCATCACCGTGACGACTCGCATTAACTCTCGTTAATTTCACTTCCTGTTTTATTTTGTCATTCACTTACCCATGCTTCCTCAGTTACTTTACTTCCTGTCTTTGTTTAGTTTCCCGCCTGTTTTCTTCCACACCTGTGTTCCCTTTGCTCATCAGACCTCACCTGTAGTTAAACCCAGCTGTTCGCCAACAGGTGCCAGATTGTTTCAACTCCATTCTCTGGTCTGCTCTCTGACTGAGCGATAATCTCCTCCTCAGAGCATCCACCTGTCCTTCCTGAGGACGGTGCCTCCGTACTCACACCAGGCTCACGTCTGGTTCGACCTAATGAGGGAGTTCAGGTGGAACCACATCATCCTCATCGTCAGCGACGACCACGAAGGACGAGCCGCTCAGAAGAGACTGGAGACGCTGCTGGAGGAGAGGGAGACCAAGGTGAGCTAAACAAAC